CGAAGAACAGAACATGCCATCTTCAGGCCACTCCCAGACCGCGTGTGCCCGCGCCCCACGGCGCCCAGGGGCTCCGAGCGGCATGCAGCGATGGCGGTCCCGTCATGGGGACAGAGAGCGAAAGGGCCCACCAGGCTCAGCTCATGCCTGGTCGCTGGGCTTCGCCTTCTTCTTGGCTCTCGGGGCGAAGTCCTAGAACGTCTTGGCGAGGCGCTTGGCCCGAGTTCGGATCTCTGGCTCCTCCTGGGGAACCTCCACTTCGCAGTCAGCCATGAAAGCCTTGACCCCCTCCATGTCCATATCATCCATGTCAAGATCAGATACAGCGCAGTGCCCGCCGTCATCAGCAGGAGCAGATGGCGCCGGGGCGGGCGCTGCTCCTTGCGCCTGCGCCTCGGCGGTTTTGTCCGCGCGCGCCTTGCGCGTGCGCTCGACGAAGGGCACCGCGTGCTGCGCGCATAGCTCGAACAGCTCCTGGCCTGCGCCCAACTGTGGCATGACCGACTGGAGCTTGGCCAGGTGCGCGGCGAAACCTTCGAGCGCCGTGCCGGCGGAGCTCTCGGTCTCCTCGGCCGGCACGCGACTCTGCAGCAGCTCCGAGCGTTGGCGCTCCAGCTCCAGCTCCAGCTCCGCGGCCTGCTTAGCATTGATCAGCTCCTGGATCTCGGCAGCCCGAGCCTGCCTCGCAACGCTATCTGCTTGCTCTGCTGCGAAGCCGGCCTCCCATTGATCGATGGCCTTGCCCACAGCTGTGACTTCATCGACGCAGCCATGCGCCTTGGACGAGGAGAGGGCGAGCAGCGGCCAGCTCCGCGCGGATCTGCGCGGTGCGGTCGACGTGCTGCGGGTATCCGTGGAGCGTGGTGCGTTGTCGGGCCGACCTGGTCGGCGGTCGACGTGCTGCGGGTCGCCGTGGAGCGTGGTGCGTATGCGGTCGACGTGCTGCGTGGTCGGGCCGATCTCTTTGGACTTAGCAGACGCGGCCATAACTGAGACCATGCCGCCCAGGGCCTCCAGCTCCTCGTGCAACTTGCCCTGGCCGCTCGGTTCGACGGAGGCGCCCTCGCCGTGGACGTCCCTGGTGCCGCTGCCGCCACCCGTGGCCTCGCTGGCAGCGCCAGAAAACTTGAGCCCCTCCTCAGACAGAGGTGGCCCTGGCTTCAGCGTCTTTCGGGGGAAAACAAACCTACCTCGCTTTTGACCACCCTCGCTTCCAAGAGATACCAAGCGATGCCAAACTGCAGCCTGTACTGCTCTCGCCGCTTGACGAGGGGGCGCGTGGTATGGCTTGGTTTTGCCTGGAAGCGAAACCGGGGTAGGTAATTCACGCTCTGACAGACAGAGGTGGCCCTGGCTTCAGCGTCTTGACTGCACACATCTGTCGCTCCTGGATGGGGTCCGAGCAGATGGGGTCGAAGGATCGCGCCGCATTGCCAATGCCTCGCCGATGTATCGGCGATGCATCGTCGACGTCGGTAATGCATCCGCGACGCTGGCGTGGAGACAATGGGGTTCCACATCGAGCCGCATCGCCGAGGTGTCGGCGATGCGGCGCGATCCTCCGACCTCATGTGCTCGGGCCCCATCCAAGGAGGCCTAGAAAGAAGGGGGGGTCCTACAAAAACATGCAGTGACGGGCCGTGCGGTGACCTCGACATCCCCCAAAACCTTGCTGCACGGTGCGCCACCACTCTGGGATGGACAGACCTCCCTTTAGCAAAACGTGGTTTAGTGAAAACGACCTCGGGCCCAAACCTGGCGGGCGCAAGCCTGGAAAATAGCGGCCACGGCGCCCTCTCGAGAACCGAAGACGGACACTTCACTAATCGACGTGTCACTGTTGGGGGTTCTGTCCACCCCCGAACCACACGGCCCTTGGGGGACCCTCGGGGGCCCCAGTCCCGGGGCGTCGGCGGCGAACGACCCAGCTCCCGCAATCGTGCGGTGGCCCCGACTGCCCACCGACTCGCCGCATGGTGCGGACGCCGTGCCGTTTGCCCGCCCCCAGAGAGAAGCGGGGAGGCAGGCGTTGAAAACAGATCGGGTGTGCCGCCCGTCCCCCAAAACAGGAAGGCCGATGGGACGCCGCTCGACGACTGCATCGGGGAGGCGCATCAAGTAGATTGGGAACCCAGCAATTCATTTTTCCTGGGGGGACAAAACAAGTATCCTCGGGAGCGGCCAAGAGGGGGGTGTCCAAGAGGGGGGGGTGCAAATCATGACAGGCGGCATGTGCGCGGCCCAGCGGGGGAGCCAGGGACGTAATGAAATAAGAAGAGGCGCCACGAGATCTGGGGAAATATCATGGCCCCCGCCATGATATCCACCCCCCCTAGTCATCACCCCCCTCTTTTCCGCCCCCGATTTTTCCTGGGGGGACAAAACGAATATCCATGGCATGCCGACGTGGGGAACCTCTCAGCGTGTCACTGTGGAGGAAACGCCGGGACTTCGCGCAGGAGCGAAGACGTAACCTGCTGACAAGCTCCCAGCGCGGCGTGCCATTGATACTCTTCTGAAGAGGCCCACAAACACACACATAAATACACACAAATAACAATATTCCCCATATTTTCCCATATTTTCTGAGTTTTTGTCTTCCCCACCACTTCCCATATTTTCCCGTATTTTCCTGGGGATCGACGATTAATTGTGTCTGTGTGTTTCTTCCCCTCCTGATCTTCTCCCCTCCCAACTTTCAATGAGCGTTTGGAATCTACCCAGGAGGCCCGCTTCGTGCCCAAGGACCGTCAGAAATCTGACCGTGGTGCAGAAAGGGCCGGGATGAACACTGGAAGGGGTCCAGGAGGCCTGTCCTGAGAGGATTTGGGACCAGAGCTCACAAAGGATCGACGATGATGACCATCGTCATCTTCTTCATCATAATCATCGTCGTCGTCGTCGCCGTCATCATCAGAATAATCATCAGCATCAGCATCAGCATCAGCAACCTCATCATCATCCTCATCATCATCATCCTCATCATCATTATCATCATCATCATCATCATCATCATCATCATCACCATCATCATCATCATCATCATCATCATCATCACCATCACCATCACCATCACCATCGCCATCATCATCACCATCATCAGCATCAGCATCAGCATGAGCATGAGCATCAGCATCAGCATCAACATCATCATCAGCATCAGCAGCATCATCATCATTAGCATCACCGTCATCATCATCATCATCATCACCATCATCACCATCCGCATCATCATCGTAATCGTTATCGTCGTCATCATCGTCATCGTCATCATCATCACCACCAGCAGCATCGTCATCGTCCTCGTCATCGTCAGCGTCACCGTCGATTCGAAGTTTAGCCTCCCTGACTTGCCCGCCGCGGCTGGATCTGGCCCGAGACCCTGGCCAGAACGCGCTGGGGAGAGGTCCGGGGCGCTCGCCTTTGCCATGGCGATGGCGTGGCAAAACCTTGAAGTGCTCACGAGCCAGGCCCGCCCCCAAGCGCTGCTTGCAGGAGGACAGATCGGGGGCGAGCCCCGGGGGGGAAAGTCAGAGGAGCTGGGTCGTCTCAAAGGCGGCCAGGCTCCTCAGAAGCCCTCGCGCCTTCTGAGCAGTTTGCTGAGCCTTCTCCGAAGACCGAGGCGGCTCCTCAGAAGGCTTGAGGGCTTCTAAGCAGCCCCGCCGCCTTCTGAGAAGGCCAACCTCCTCTCCCCTACCCCCTGGGCTCGTCGCCGAAAGGAGGAAAGGAGTCGCCTCCCGTAGGAAGGAGGAGGAAGAGGGGACACTGGCCTGCATTGCATAACCGCTGGCGCCGAAAAGAGACGCGCTGGCTTCAAGATCGGCCTACACCCTTGATCGGGGGCGGGGCGTTCGAGGAGGGGGGTCGCAACTCGTGGCCCGAGGCGCGTGCGCGGACGAGGGGGGGACAAAGAGACGCATTGAATTGAGCAGGGGCCGACCGTCCCGGCAGTCCTACACGCCCACCACAAATGCTCTTAGAAACCCAAGCGTTTTCTGAGAAACCCAAAAATGTCTTAGAACGTACACCTCATGTGATAAAACAAGGCAGCCTCAGCCAGAAATGTTCTAGGAACATTGCGTGCAGACCACACAAAGTTCTTAGAACACTTTGTGGTGGGCCTATACGCAAACGAGGACGCTTCGCCATCGCTGCATTGAAGGTAAAAAGTGGTCCATGAAATTTGGGAAGATGGCATGGCCCCGGCCATGATAAATCCCCCTAGTCATTGCCCCCCTCTCAGCCACACTTCGGTGGCAACTCATGGGAGGTTCCCACACCATCTTGCCGGCTCTTGCGAATCGACGCTAGTCGACGCTAAATCGACGCAACTCGACGCTAAATCGATACGACTCGACGCTAATTCGGCGCCATGTCATCCATTCCCAGACGCTCATCGGCGCTAGTCGACGCTCAAGGCAAACTTAAAAGTGTATACCACGCTCCCACGACTTGCTGCCGAAGCACCCCTGGGTTGATGCAGAGCCAGGAGGCTCGCCCAAACGCGCGGGCGGGCTTCGAGGAGCCACATTCAGCCGAGGGGTGGAGAAGAGCGGCGGCGGGTCATCCGCCGCCATGGGGCGGCTCTGTGGCACGCGGCGCGCACGCGTGGCATGGGGGAGGGGGAGGGGGAGGGGAGAGGGGGGAGGGAGGGGAGGAGGGACATCATACATTTTTCACAAGGACACTATACATTACAGCGAAGCGTCACGCAGAGGGGTAGAATCGACGACGACAACAATTGCAAATAACGAGCGGCGAACACATCCATGCCCACGCCCTCGCGGTCTAACTTCCTGGGCGCGTTGCGGATACCGGTAAAACGGATACGCCCCGCGCAAAACATCTTCGAATACCCATGAAAAAAACCGACTCTTATCTGCGAGGTCGCGGCCCATTGCTCAGGCCCGCGGGGCCGCGGATACGGATATGTGTTACGCCCACGGACGGCAACAGAAACGACCGCACGTGGAAATGAGGGCGGAACGGGAGCCGGAGTCCTGCTGCATACGGGCCCCACCGACGATGGAATGGTAGTAGAGGTACCTCACGCGGAAATCGGAGAGCGCTGCCTCTCCTCCTCCTCCTCCTCCTCCCTCCTCCTCCTTCCTCCTCCTCCTCCTCCTCCTCCTCCTCCTCCCTCCTCCTCCTCCTCCTCCTCCTCCTCCTCCCTCATCCTCCTCCTCATCCTCCTCCTCTTCCTCCCTCTCCCTCCTCCTCCTCCTCCTCCTCCTCCTCCTCCTCCTCCTCCTCGACCTGGGGGCCCCTCCCGTAGGGGAGGGGTCGGGACCCCAGGGCCCTCCTGGCGCAGGCGGGGAGCGCCGGGCCCGAGGGGCGAAAAGCCCCCGCTCCCCTGGGATGGCCCCCGTAAGCGGGGTCCCCTTCCCAGGGGGGGCTGCCAGGTCCCGGGGCCTCCCCCAGGGCGGCGCAGGGTTCCCTCCCCTGCGGTCGCCGCCTTGGGGCGGGACTGGCGGTCCGTCCCCCCGTCGTGTCGTGTCGTTGTCGTCGTCGTCGTCGTCGTCGTCGTCGTCGTCGTCGTCGTCGTCGTCGTCGTCGTCGTGGTCCCGGGGTCCGGGTCCTTTTTTGCCCTGCCTCTTGGGCGTGCGGGAGGCCGTTCCGTTCGGCCTCCCCCTTTGTGGGGTCGGCTCCGTTCGGTTGGGGCCTCCCGCCTGCCCGTGGGGCGGGGCTTTTTCCCCGTGTGGTTCGGTCGGACTCGCCCGCCGGCTGAGCGCGCGGGGCACCGCGGCGGGGCCGCGTGTGATGTCCTGTGGGCTGAATCTGCGCGGTGGAAAAAATCCTCCTCCTCGACCTGCTGCTGCTGCTCCTCATCCTCCTCCTCCTCGTCCGCCTGCTCGTCCTCCTGGCTACGTGCGAACAGGCGCGTCAGTCTGATGCACACGACCCGCGATGTACTCCCTCGCCCGTCGTCCTGGGATCATATTCCAGATCCTCACAGCGACAAGCGAGGGAACACATACGACCATGTGCGGCCGTAAGGGTAACAGGGGCGCCGAGCCCGCTAGAGAAACAGCATTCTCAATCACAAGACAGCTCGCCGTTTGGGCCCCGCCGCCAGCCCAAACGGCGAGCATACATCGGGCGTAACCCCGCGCACATTCAAATCCCTACATTTCGTCACCGTACCACTCGACTTATTCCCCGTCCTCCTCCCCGTCCTGATCGTCGTCGTCGTCGTCCTCCCCTCGTCAGCTTCCTCGTCCTCCTCGTCGTCCTATTGCGCCAACTCCTCCTCGTCGTCCTCGTCCAGGACCGCGCCATCGGTTGCGCCCTCGGCATCGTAAAAAGGACGATTGGTGCGAAACTCGCCAGATCCCACTGTGCCGATGTGCGCCGGAACCTCGGATGCACAGTGTGCGTTCGGCAGCGCGGCCGACGGCGAGCATGTCGAAGGCACTGGAATACGGTAGAGGGGCGGAGGGGAAGGACGGAGAAGGGCGCGGGATGGGGCCGAGAGCTCCTGGAAGGGGGGGCCATCCGAGGGAGCGGTGCGTCCCCCATCCCTGCCCCCAGTGGCGGCGACGAGGTACAGGCTGCTTGGGGAAACGAAAGCACCGACCCCCTCTATCCCCCCCCGCGGCCTGGGTGGACCGACCACCCTGGCCGGCGGAGGGCGCCATGAGGGGGCCGGGGGCCCCCTCATGAGAGGAGCAGGGAGGAGGAGAAGCGGGGAGGAGGAGGAGGGGGAGGAGGAGGAGGAGGAGGAGGAGGAGGAGGAGGAGGAGGAGGAGGACGAGGAGGAGGAAAAGGAGGAGGAGAACGAGGAGGAGGAAAAGGAGAGGGCGGAGGGAGCAAAGGGCAGACGGAGGCCCCCTTCCACGCTTCGCCCGGCGCGCCGCGTTCGCGCCCTCTGCGGGGGCAGGCCCGCGCCTTGCTCGAAGGCGACTGGGTGCTCTCCTGCTCCTCTCGCGCACGTGCATGTTTTTTTTTGACAGCCGCAGGCGGAAGCGCCAGCGGCGGGAGGTCGCGGGCGGGCTACGGCCGCGACTAAATTGCCGAGCGCGCGCGGGGGCCGCGGATCAGGCGGCGGGCGCACGTGCATGCGCGAAGCAGGCCCCTGCAAGGCGCCGCGGGCGGGGCCTCTTCGGGCCTCCAAGGAGTTTTTTTGTTGGGGCGGAAGGGGCTCGGTTTTTTTTGTTGGTCCGGGCTCCCCGTCTCGGGCCCTGCGGGCCTGCCTGGGATGGCACGAGCTCATATTTTGAGATCGACGCTTGGGCAGAATCGTATGTCAAATTGCCCATCGCCATACGAAAACGATACGCTCGGGGGGGGAGTCTATCCTAATATTCCTGCAACAGAAGGAAAAAATCCATGGGAGGCGGGGCGGCGACGGCGGCGACAAAGACGACGGGCGGCAACGAGGCTGATACGGGGCAGAAGCGGCGGCGGCGGCTACATAGCCGCCAGACCGACAGACAGGCCCAGACGACGGGCGCCGACGAGGCGACGACGGGGCGGCGACGGTGGCTGCATAGCCGCCAGACCGACAGACAGGCCCGATTCCTTCGAACAGATTTAAGACCCGACGTGAAAGCAAACGCTGTTTGGGAAATAACAGCTCGGAGGTCCGCGCGATGTCGGGTCGGCGCTGGGGCCAACTGGCAGCGCCTCCGGCGCCGCCCCTGGCGCGCCCCGCGAGCCAGGGAGATGGGGGCTCCAGCGGCGATCCTCGAGAAATCTGCGCGGACCTCCGAGTGCGTGGACCTCCGCGTGTCTGGACCGTTCGGAGATCGGCGGCTTTTGCCTGGGCACCAAACGCCCGAGGCCGCCCGCTCTGCCGCCAGGGCGAGGCCGCCACGCTCTGGCTCCTTTTCCTCCTCCTCCTCCTCCTCCTCCTTCTCCTCCTCCTCCTAATTCTCCTCCTCCTCCTCCTCCTCCTCCTTCTCCTCCTCCTCCTAGCCGGCGGGGCGCGGGGCACGTGTGCCCCTGCTGCCCCTCGGCCCCCAGGAAGCCCTCGGGCCACGCGGGCCCGGGCGCCTCGGCCTCGGGGCAGCCTCCGCGGGCGGGAGGGGGGCCCGCCGCCAGCGCCGCCGCGGGCGCCGCGGGCACCGCTGCAGGCGCTGCCGCCGCCGCCGTCGTCGTCGACGTCTCCGCCGACGTCGACGACGCCTCCGCTCTCGTGGTCGTGCTCGTGCTCGCCGTCGTCGTGCCCGTCGTCGGTGACGTCGTTATCGTCGTCGTCGGCGGCGGCGTCGGCGGCGGCGGCGGCGGTGGCGGCGGCGTCTTCGCCCCCCCTGCCCGGACGGCCGGCCCCCGGTTCTCCCCGGGGGCGGCGCCGCTTGGCCAATCTGCGCCCGCTCGCACTGTCGGCCGCTCTGGAGAACCGGACGATGACGCAAACATGCAGCCATCGTGCTGGCATCAGCATCGCACAGCAAGAGACGAAGGGTCTGTTTCTGACCCCCCTGAAGGCGCCTCCAGCGCCGCCCCTCGCGCGTTCCTCGCGCCAGTGAGGGGTGCCCGGCCCCGATCCAAGACATCCGCGCGGACCACCGAGTTGGTGTGTCTGTGCCTCGCTTCATTCCGCGACGCTCCGTCCGTCGGGGGGGGGGGTGCTCCACCTGCGTCTGCCCGATCGCCAACGCGCAGGACGGGCACTCGGTGTGAGCAGGGACCGACCGTCTCGGCACTCCTATGGGCCTACCACGAGATATCCTAGAACCCGAACGTGTTCTAAGAACGAAAACAATGTTATTATAGCATCAACCCGATGCGTCCAAACACGAGTCTCAGTCAGAAACGTTCCAAGCACATTACACATCACGCGCAGTCCACAAAGGTTATTCGAACAGTCTTCGGTGGGCTTGTAGGGCCACGGCGCGTTGCCACTACTCGAACCTGCGCCTGCCCGATCGCCAACGAGCAAAGAGTGACCCTCGGGGTGCTGCCCACCCGGACCGTAGGCGACCCGAGGAGAAGGAGGAGGAGGAGGTGGAGGGGGAGGGGGAGGGGAGGGAGAGGGGAGGAGGGGGAGGGGGAGGAGAGGAGGAGGAGGAGGAGGAGGAGGAGAGGAGGAGGAGGAGGAGGTGGAGGAGGACGAGGAGGAGGAGGAGAAGGAGGAGGAGGAGGAGGACGAGGAGGAGGAGGGAGGGGGAGGAGAAGGAGGATGGTGATGAGGAGGAGGAGGAGGAGGCGGAGGAGGAGGAGGCGGAGGAGGACGGGTCACCTAAGCCATTCGGAGAAACCCTCCACCTCGGGGTGCTGCGGCGGGCCGGAGCCGAGTGCGCAGGGCGGGTGCGGGGGCCACCCCCCGTGGGCCCGCGCTGGGCGGAGAGGCGCCCCGAGGGAAGGCCCAGGCCTGCAGGCGGGCCGCCTGTGGCGCCCGTGCTGGCCAGTCTCCCCGCGCGCCCTTCCTCGTCGTCGTCGTCGTCCTCCTCCTCCTCCTCCTCCTCGTCCTCCTCGTCCTCCTCCACCCTGTCCTCCTCCTCCCCCTCCTACTCGTTTTGTTTCCTCGTCCTCGTCCTCGTCCTCGTCGAACTATGGCAGCGGAGTCACCCCAGGGTCGAACTATGGCAGCGGAATCACCCCACTCCACCACAACAGCTACAGCCTCCACCCAGCATGGCGGACATACAAAGAGGGTTTGCTTTAACAGCAGAAGCGTTGCGCTGGGCTGCCTCTCTAGCCTGAATGCGTGATAGGAAAGCCTGCATCCCAGGCGTCTGGACCAGGGCCTCCAGACTATGGGCTGGCCTCGCCGCCTCTGGCGGCGGAAGGATGGCCGCAGCATGGCAAAGGACGCTGGAATGAGGCGTCCTCCTCCCCCCTCCTCCTCCTCCTCCTCCTCCTCCTCTCCTCCTCCTCCTCCTCCTCTCCTCCTCCTCCTCCTCTGCTCCTCCTTCCTCCTCCTACTCCAACTCCTCCACCTCCTCCTCCTCCTCCACCTCCTCCTCCACTTCCTCCTCCTCCGTTTCCGTCTCCTCCTCCTCCTTTTCCTCCTCTTCCTCCTCTGTTCCTCCTTCTCTTTCTCCTTCTTCACCCCCCACTCCACCATTGCACAATATGGATACTACTCTCCTCTCTCCTCTGATTACGTACGTAAGAGGCTTGGCCCCCCTTCGCATTTCACACAGGATTCCCCGGAGTTGGGTTCTCGTTTGGGTTGTGTGTTTCAAAATGCTGCTCCCGCTGAATCGCTGGCCTCATGTTCGGGCTTCCGCTCGTTCCGAATCGTGCTCCCGCTGCAACGTTGGCCTCATGACCGCGCTCTCGCTCGTTCCGAATCGTGCTCCCGCAGCAGCGTCGGTCTCATGTTCGTGCCTCCGCTCGTTCCGAATCGCGCTCCCGCTGCAGCGCTGGCGTCATTATTTCCAGTGCCATGCCACGGCATGCAATGCAACGTTATGTGGTGTTCTGCTATGCGGTGCCATGCCTTCAGCTGCAATGCTAGGATATGCAATGCTTGACTACGCATTGCCACGCCATGCTATGCCATGCTACGCTTTGATATTCAACGCCATGCTATGCCATGCTCTGTTCTGTGCCGCTGTGCGATGCCAATATGTGCGTTGCAATGCTTTGTGATGCAATTCTTCACTGCGCACCGCCGCGCCATGCTATGACATACTACGTTCTGCCGTGCTCTTCTACGCCCTGCTATGCCGTGCTCTACGATGCATCGCGCACCCTGTCGGGATCATTGCCCTGCCTCGACCTCCGACTGTGCGAATAGGGAGGAGGTCTGCAACATGGTAAGGGATGGGAGGGAGGGGAAGGACGCCAGATATGACGCCAGCGCACCTAGTTTGCCTCCTCCTCCTCCTCCTCCTCATCCTCCTCCTCCTCTTCCGCCTAGCTTGCCATCTCCTCCTCCATCCTCCTCCTCCTCCTCCTCCTCCTCCGCCTCCTCCTCCTCCTCCATCCTCCTCCTCCTCCGCCCCCTCCTCCTCCGCCTCCTCCTCCTCCTCCATCCTCCTCCTTTTTTTTTGAGCAGCAACGCCGCGGCCTCTGTTATGAGAACAGTGTCTGCACGACCAGCCCAGAGGCGCAACTGGTGCGGCACTGAACCTGTACCTTATAACAGCGGGATGAATTCGTCGATGTCGACGTAAACACCCTTCTTATCAGGATGCAGGCCTCTACGGAGCTTACGCATGTTCTTCACGCCAGACTCCGCAGGTGGGGCGCACTTACGCCCCAGGCCTAACACAACTCCACCACTGCTATAAAACTTGCACGACATGCAAAGGAACAGGTTAGCATTATCAGTGCAAGGGAACGCTACCACGCGATGCCCGAGACGCTCCAGAACGCACCTGTCGAGCCTGCTGCGGCCCGCACATTCCGACCCGCTGTTCGGCAGGGATGACGCTCTGGAGCCTCGCAAACACACGCGGCACCTCCAAAAGCTACCTTGGCGGTCCCAATCGTGCTCCAGCACAAGCCGAGGAGGGCGTGGTGGCTTCGGCGGCTGGACTCGCTCCAAGCCACGGAACTCGACTTTGGGCCAAAGCGGGGGCAACGCTGCTCCGCCCAGCAACACAGCCCTAGCAATCTTTAAAGTACGACTTAAAGCATCGGCCTCCGTTGGCGTCATAGTCGGATGCCGCGTCGCACCTTCCTTCGTCTCGACGTCGGCATACGCATTACCCAACCTCCGAAAGCGCCCCTTCCGCCGACGAACCCTCCTCCTCCAGATCTTTGTGGGCAGCCACTTTGTGGATGCCCTCGCAAAAGCGGCCAAAATGGTGGCGAGCTTGCATGACGAAGCCAGCGTACTGACGGGCTGGGCCAGACGCCTCGGCTCCGCCAAGATTCTGCAACATCACCACATTAGCACAATCTGACTAACACTGAGCAGGGACCTCCGTGCACAACGCAGTCCAGGCTAGGGCGCCAAATGCGGCTCCCTGGGGGGTCTGAGGCCACGGAGCCCAGAGGGGACCTTTTATGACCCCAAGCTTCTCCCCCGACTCCGAGACCATAACAACAGACCACCCCGCCCTAGACAACTCCCTAACCTGGTGCCTAGAGCAGGACCCATCCATGAAAAGGTGCCCCCAGACGCCGCCCCTGGGAACAATGGAGGGGGGCGAGCCTGGCCTGGCAGGATCAGGGAGCGGGTCAACATGCCAGTCGACAGTGACGCCGTCGGGCGAGATAGCCGGCTTCGGAGCCCAGTCCCCAGGATGTCTGAACGCACCATGAAGCCACATAGCTTTTCTCTCGGGGTCGCTCTCAGGCACTTCAAGCGCCGCTTCCTGGATCCACTTCGGCATGCACTCGTCCCGCTCGGCCTGCGCGCACGGGCACGCCCAGAGGCGGTGAAACAGGGTGTCCTTGGCGCCGCAGCCCAGCGGGCACAAACTGGAGATGGGGTAGCCTAAGTCGGCTGCATCGCCTGCAGTCCAGCAGGCATTGGTGGCCAGAGCACGGATCATACCCTTCTGAACCCCATGGATTTTCTTGGACGCAAGAAGTCTCTGTGGGACGTCCCAACAGAGACGGGCACCAGCCTGAAACTTGTCCCCGGAATCCCGCTCAAGGCTCCGAAATACAGCCGCCTTGCAACAAAAAAGCTTCACCAGTTTGGGCGGCGACAAGGTGAGAGATATCTCGTGACCAAAATCGTCCACGAGGGTAGTAAAATTGGGCATGGTCCACCCAAGCCTGTACAGCGACATTCGAAGCCCTGAGATAGGTCCCGAAACTTTGGCCCAGGTCCAGTCGTCTTTTTTGAAAAACCGAACTCCACCCAGTCCGAAGCTCGGCCCAGCTCAGGGCCCACTCAAAGGCCCTCGCCTGACGGATCCACACCTCCTTGGCCCAGCGGATGATAGGGGCGCAGCTGGCCCTCCACGTGGGGTCCTTTCTAAAAGACACAAAACGGCAAGGGACCTACCCTGGACAGAGGGTTTAACGCAAGACATGGCCAATCGTCGAAGCGACAGCAGCTCACGGTCAGAGACCCCATGCAAGTCCGAACCATACACAGTCCCAGCTAAGGGTCCAGAGGTGAAGATGTTAACCACCTTGCGCCCCAGAGTGGGGCCCA